TTTGGAATGTGTTGTTTCTTCATTTGATGTCTGATTTGAGAGGTTAAAGTAACCACATGAAGCTCTTCAAGCCCTTTAACTAATGGTATCAATCTCACACCCAAATTCTCCATTGTTAAAAAGATAAACACCTAAACTCAAAATGATCTGCTTTTATCTCAAAACACACCCAATGGTGTTTAAATCCCACAACCTAGTGCTACTAGCTCTGGAACCACTTTGACCAAGTCAAATAGACTACACATAATATATCAAGCTAATCATATCATACAAATAACCTTTCACATGCAAAATGACCATCAAAAACCCAATTCTCAATAATGCAATAGGGGTGAATCGGATTGAATATAATAATCATTTTACCCTTTTCAACACATAAACATTTCAATCATATCACTTGTATTAGTATCTTGGCCTTTCACACACATTTAATCACTATTACTATAAGTTTAGGTCGAGATACACACACTCCACAAATTCATACAAGTGATTACCAAAATAATGAAATGTTCCTAAGTTAGCACAATATTTAAAATCTTTATTACAAAGTCAAAATGACAAGGGAGAAGAGCTATACAAATGAGCTCTTCACTCTTTGATTATCCCTTCCTTCCCTTTTTCCCCTACTGGAGCTCTCACTTATAAAATATAACCACGAGATGAGATAAACATCTTAGTAATAGAATAATTCACTACTATCAATTAACATGCACAACTAAAAGCGAGTAATGCTTATATACTTCAAAAATACTCTTTTAACATATTCAACCACATATTTCCTTGAGCATAAGTTATTTACCACTACCATGATCATACTATCATCTAAGCGTTCATATGACCCGACCATAGGTTTTTAGACCAAGTGCACATTCACAATGGCCCGAGCTTACTTTCAGTGGTAGGATTACTCGACCAAAGGTGTCCTATCCCACTTTAGGACTATGGTCTCCCCCTATCACACATGAATTGGGGTGTTGTTATTCCAACATTGCATTATTGATGCTAAAGAGTATCAATCTCCAATGCCGTGTTCTACTTGGATACTAAGGAGATAATCTCTAACACCGTGCCTCACAAGGTACTAAGGAGATACATGATATATGGATTTTTTCTACTCCTTCTTACGATTGAACTCTCATCTTCTATTATGATCATGCTCACACAACTCATATAACACATATTCCTTTCTAATTCTCATTAATTTCCTATAAGACTTTCACAATCTCATAGTTTGGAAATTGTTTCACATGCATAAAATTATAGTTCACAATATGTAATGTTTTCAAATCACAAGTAGAAAATTAACATATCTACTTACAAACAATTAAGCAATATAATCAAATAGTGTAATTTATTTTGTTACCTCAACCCTTTGTCACAAAAGGATTATCATGGTTTAGTGTTAGCTCTACACGTTTTATACACATGATAAGGCTCAAGCAATACACAATCTACACAATTTAGGGACAATTATTAATTATCATTCTGAATAAACCCAGAATTCCTTAGGTTTGAAATACCCATAACTCTTAAATTCCTTGTTTAACAATATCAACCCTTGTAAAACACTCCAACAATCCTATTTAGCATCCAAACATACCAAAACCATCAACCAACTATCCATATTGTTCCAAAACCTTAAATTCTCAAATAAGTTTTATTTAAACCCTAGTTAAAAATTTTAAATCACCATAAAACCTATAAACTTAGGGTAAGAGGCTTGATTTAACTTTTTAAGACCTTATCTAAGGTTAAGGGTTCATCTACTACCTAAGAGCAACTGAAAACAAGTCCCAAAATGCCCTTACTATTAGAAAATTTAAGTATAAGGAGAGGAAGAGGTGAAGGAAGCTTACCAATAATGATTCAAGCTCGTAATGCCCTCAAAATGACCTTAGCATCATGCCCTAGTTATTCTAAGAGCCTCCTCCATCGCTGCTCTCGTTTTCTCTCTTTCTCCTTTTTGGTTTCAAGTTTATTTTGCGATTGATAAGTGCAAAATTTTTCACATGCACCGCAGCACATTGGTGCGTTTGCTATGGCTCATGGCTAAAGAATCCCAAACTCATTTTAGGTATGTCTATGTGCCATGGCCTACTTGATCTCCTATTTAGCTATCTTCTAAGGCTGCCCAATGATCCATTAGCTACATTAGCCTCCTAAACACACCATTAAATCATAATTTACCTAATTAGGTCAAAATACTCTTATAAATACTAAAAATTCCTAAGATAAAAGTCTACGATGTTACACAATTCTAACTGGTGATATTCTTAAGGCCTATCACCTTAATTGTTCTAATCTTTGTGTTTTTGGCTGTGATGTGTATGAAATCATTGATCATGTTTTTTGTAACTATCCATTCTCTAAGGTTATTTGGTTTAGCACTTTATCTATTCAATCTACCACCATCTTTAAGCTAGGACTCATTACTTAGACCTTTCAAGTTTCAAAGGTTTTATACCAAAACCAAGAAAAATACTTGCTTAAGGGTATTTTATAAAATTTAGTAAAGGAGAAATTCTTTTCCATAATAGAAAAGGTATCCTAGCAGAGAAGCTCATTTAAGAAATTAGTTTTATTAATAAATATAAGAAAATAAATTTTAGGAAAAATTGCTAAAAAATCCCTCCTTGGAAGGGAAATTGTTGTGAGGGACTGAGGGGAACTTAAGACCAAATATGTTATAATATTTAGAAAAGCCCTCATGAAATGAGTGAAATGCCCCTCTATTTAAACAAATGAAATTTTTATAAACAACTACTTCTTTGCATGCTAATCCCTAATCAAAGAACCAAAGAAATGAAGCAACAATTGAATAAGGGAAAGTTGAGCATGGTTGTGATGGACAACATTAAGGAAGGAGCAATTGGTGACATGAGTGAGGACTTGGTTGAATGAGCTTAAGAACAACTAGGAAGTGGAGCAATTAGGGGATGGCTTTATGATACATTCCTTTCCTCTTACTCCCATCTCCATCTTGTCATTATTTCGTATCTCCTACTTCTCTCAAGTCTTTATGTCACTCGAATCCATAATTCCTCTCTTGATTTGACTTCACTTCTTTCTCTATTTGGCTTTAAGGCTATTATCTTAGTCTATGCCCCTAAGCCTAAATATTGTAGGAGGAAACTTGTTACGGTTTCAATTCCAAATCTATCATAGCCTTTTATTTACCACATGTTGATGAAGAAACTTCTATTAGGGTGGATTAATGATGAAGATTTGCTATTCCATTACTAGTTATTACCCTTCTCTTAGTTTTCTTAGTTTTTAATCAGATCCTTAGCATACAAAGTGCTTTTCTTTTTGTCCTTGCTTTGCTAGTTTTTTCTACTTGAGTAGAATCTTCATTTAAAACTCACAATTTTTGTTGTTGATCAACTAACCATATTTCACTTTTTTATTGCCTTAGATTCTATATTATAACATCTACAAGGGCCAAAAGTTGATTTTTGAATCATTAGGATCATTGCTCCAACTTACATGACAAAATCACTGGTGTATAAGGTCATTAATCTTTAGACTTGCTCATGATCAATTCAGGGGATAAGTTTCCTATGAGGTTCCAATGCTCTTCAATGATTATGAATCATGAATTATGAATCTAGTTTGTGGTGGGTTAATTCAAAGGGAATATTAAATATTTTGCCTTTCAAAATTGAGAAAGCCCTATGCAAAATAAATATATACGTAAATAACATATAACCATTCAATAACAATCCATGTTTATGGTGAATTTTGTTTTACGAGAAAAGATTATGAAATGTAATGCTCATCCATGTCATGAATGGTGGGCATATAGTTTCCAATTATGGAAGTATTTTCACAAGTTCATGACAATTATGTGACATTGCAGCATGTCATGTGGTTTTGAATGTATATATATAGAATTGGTATGCAATTATTATCAAGAGAAACTACACAGTGAATAATATTTCTTTTTAATCAAAGTTAATGTATTCCACAACAGCTAACCGTTGAATATTATTTATGTTGTATTGCAATACATCATCACATGTTTTGAAAGAACATCTGTCTTACTATCTTCCAATTTTAATGTTTATTTGCAAGAAGATGGGTTGAATTTTTTTTGTGATAAGGGCACTTTAGTCTTTTTATATTTTAAGTATCAATAATAAATAAAAATTATCTTTTAATTTCATAAACATACCAAATATATTTTTAAATCTCATTTCCACGTTCATTTTCAAATCCAGATTCATTTCCACATCTATGAAAATAATTTTCAATGTATCAAATGAGGCTTAAGGGTGTGATTGATTGGGAATTTTTGAGGGTTTTCTCATTTGGTTAAGAAATTTTAAAAAAGAGGATAGCCAAAATAACCCCTCCCCTCCCCTCATATTGCTTCCTTCCAAATTGGGGGTGTTTTGGAATGGAGTTAATGTTTTTGACTATTTTGTCCTTATCTCTTTTTAAATATTCTAAGTATATTCATAACTAAAAAAATCTTTTTTATAGTAGATTGTACTTAACTCATAGACTCCAACTGACCTTATTGGATTTTTTTAAAAAAATTATAATTTATCATATTTTATTATATATTTAAGGGAGTTGTTTATTTTTTTATAAATTTTTTTATCATTATAATCATTTGTTTAATATTTTTATGCATATATTGACAATATGATAGGATGAGAATAAATTTTTAAGAAATCATGTAATTTAAATTGAGGTGTAGAATTACTTTCTATAATGAACAATTAACAAAATTTTAAAATAATGTATAGAGATATAATAGTAAATTAATTATTATTTCTCTTCTTTTTTCTTCCTAAATCAAATAAAGGATTATTAAAAATTTTTTTCTTCTCCTCTAACAAAATTAAATAAGATTATATATATTAAAACTCTTGAAAGGGGAGGGAGGAGAAGGGAGAAATGTTTTAAAATCCTCTAATTTGAAGAGGAGGTTTTAGTGGTGAGGAGAGGAAAATTTTTTTAAATGTCATCACCAACGGAGTAGGCAAATCTCTTCACTGCACTTTACTTCCTTTCCTCCACGTCGAGCCTTGTTCCATCTCTCTCTATCCTCAATCTTGAACTTCTTTCTTCCAAAGAAAAAGAAAAAAAGGGTCTTCTTGCACAGCTTCTTCCTTTAGCTCCAGGTCGGCCCAACCGGCTGGCCTGTCTTAATTTCGTGGTCAATGATTCTTCCAATAATAAGATAGCGTCAGTAATTGAAGCCGTATGTTCCTTCCTTCCTCTTTTCTTATTACTTATTAGCCAAAATAAGATGTCTCTACATCACAGTCACGGTTGAAGACAATGATAACTTGGAGAAGGTGAAACAAGAGTCTGAAATTTGATGCTTTTCTTATTTTGGCAGCTGGGCAAAAGAAGGTGCTGTACAACGGCATACCTATGCAGAGTGTTTTCTGTTGTAACTTAATTTCAATATCATCCAATCGTGGCTGTTCCCTTTTCTGTTTGTCTCGTCAAATAAGTATTAAATGCAGTAAAAGATCGAACAATTTTAATTTCTCAACGGATTTGGTCAACAGGAAAGGTATTAAAGAAGTGGGTCCAGAATGTAATTGCAAAATTACTTTGATTAGGAGTTCTGATGGTCATAGAGTTGGAGAGGAGATTTCCTGTGAGTTATACAACCAGTTAATTATTGAATGTTGTAAAGGAAGTGACCTTGATGGGGCCATGCCTCTCCTGGCTCAGATGGAGGCTAAGGGGTATCAACCCAATTCACTTTCTTTTAGCTATCTGATTGAAGCCCTTGGGAGTGTAGGAAGGACCTTAGAGGCTGAAATGTTATTCCAGGAAATGATCTATTCTGGCTTTAAACCGAGACTGAATGTATACAATGTTTTGATTAAAGGGTTTTTGAAGAAAGGTCTGTTAGGACTTGCCCTAGGGCTTTTACAGGAGATGGAGGATTTGGGCTTGAGGCCAAACCAAGAAACTTACGAGAACTTCTTAGGTTACTATGTTAATGCTGGACGGTTGGAAGATACTTGGGCAACACTCAATGAGATGAAGAAAAATGGATTTCAACTAAGTTCATTTGTCTATAGCAAGGTTGTTGGCCTTTATCGGGACAATGGAATGTGGAAAAAAGCCATAGGCATTGTAGAAGAAATCCGAGATAGGGGTGTTTCTTTGGACAGGCATATTTATAACAGTATTATTGATACATTTGGGAAATATGGTGAATTAGACGAAGCTCTAGAATTGTTTGAGAAAATGCAAAACGAAGGTGTAAGGCCTGATATAGTGACATGGAATTCATTGATTAAGTGGCACTGCAAAGCAGGTGACCTCACAAAAGCCCTCCGTTTGTTTATGCATATGCAAGAGCAAGGATTATATCCTGATCCAAAAATCTTCATTACCATTATTAGCTGCTTAGGGGAGCAGGGAAAATGGGATGCAATGAAGAACATTTTTGAAAGCATGAGATGCAGGGGAAGTAAATACGGGGCTGTTTATGCTGTTTTGGTTGACATTTATGGGCAGTACGGGAAATTCCAGAATGCTGAGGAGTGTATACAGGCACTGAAATCAGAAGGACTTCTAGTTTCACCAAGCATTTTTTGCGTGTTGGCAAATGCTTATGCTCAGCAAGTAAGCTACTTCCTTTCTCTTGTTCACTTGCATTGCCACCTTTTACTTAAATATAACTAATCATAAGATAATTTTATTTTGGGATATTCAGATCTTACCATTTTTGGTTCATCTGTATTTATTTTGGTAATGGCGATTAATTTGGATGAAGTGATTCACATATATAAATGTTTGAAGTTATGGGGAATTGTGTTCACTACCCATCGCTTGATTATGATTCGATGTCTTGTACTCTCATTGTCAGTTTTGCTCCTGTCAAGTTGAATATTTATAAACTTCTCATTAAGTGATTAAAGTTCTATGAATATATTGATGATTTACCTATTCATCATCATTTTCTGTTTTGACGAAAGGTTTAACCAAACTAGAAGGGATTTGTATTTGCCTGTTTCACTAAACCACGTCAATCAAGTATCCATCTTTTCAGGTGACCTTCCATTTGACACATCTTTAAGCAAGTCAGAGTTCTTTTAGCATAGCTCTTTTAATATCCACCAATATAACAAGATTCTTTTTTGATAAAAGTTTTGATATAGGTTTTGCTTTGGATCCTTGCAATTGGATTCACCTTTTGATTTTTAATACACTCAACCCCTTGCTTCCATTCTAAATCGGTAAATCTTACAGAAGTGGAAGCAACGATGGTTCTTTGATGGGGAATGGATGTAGGGAGGGAGAAAAAAAAATAACGTACATATAAATTTATTTACTTGTGATATTCATTAATAAAATTTTCACATTTTGGTATAAACTTATGAAAATTGTTGAACGAGATCTCTTAGTTAATAATATTCCTAAAAGCTTGGTTGATGATAAAGTACAATGGTATTGTGCAATTAATGTAACGTGCCTCACCTAGTGGGATAAAGCTTCTTCTTCTTATTGTTGTTGGTGTAAACTATTCTTTTGGAATAAAAGGAAGATGAAATGGTTAATATTTATCCTCAAAAAGTTAGCCTATTCAATGGAGGAGTTGGATTGAATGTATACTATTGTGTTCCAATAATTACATTCAATGCACGGTAATTGTTATTCAGGGTAAATCTGATATGTGAAGACTGAAGCTATGGTGGCATCAGCACCTGTTGTAATTTTCTGTCATTAAATAACAGATTTGAGTGATATATATGACAAATATCTTGTTAATATATCTTTTCTGGCCAACCCTTTTGCTCACTTCTTAACATTTCAGTTCAATCTTTAGGCCATGAAATCTCCTAATTTTGCTAGAATCATTATTTTATATTGATTTTCATGATGATTCAAAGACTAGCGGTAGGACAGCAGGTAGATATTTCTTCTAGAGTCTGATTCCTTGAACTGAGGGCTTATCTGATCATTTAGTGAAACAGTTGGGAATCTATCAAACTTAGAAAATATTTTGCATTCTCATAGAGGCTTGACATGATAGTTTAGATGAGTAGAAGGCTTACTTTTGAAAAACTTTAAACAAGCTTGATAGAATTTAACACTTTTTTTCCCCCTCTTTTACCCTATTTGCTCTGCATGGTGCAGGGCATTCAAACCTCACTCCCAATTCTGATGCTGAAAATATTATCTAGAAACAGTAAGTCTGGGTCCTGTAGGAAATAGGGTCAATATGTTGGAGAAAATTAAGGTGGTGGTAAGCTTGTTACTCATGCATACATATCTGTTTGGAAATTAACCAGCAGAAATCATTGTTGCAAGTTTGGTAAGGGGAAGAGGGCATGGGCTTTCCATCTTGTGTTATAACTAGGAGACATAGGCTTACTATGAAAATGAATTCTTCAATCATTGATTATTTGATAGTTAGATGCATCAATAAACAATCCCCTCCCCTCCTCCCCCCCCCCCACAAAAAAAAAAGCGGGGGACAAAAATGGTGGGTGGATGGGGGGGTAGGGGTGGACTGAAAGCCCAAAGTTAATTGGCCAAAAAAAAAAAAAACAGACAAGAAAAAGAAAGCCCAAGTTAAACTATTAGCCTAGTAAATGAGATAAAATCCCACATAACTGAGCAAATTAACAATTTACTTCTCAAAATATCACTCTCCCATTAATTTGGTCCTATAAAAATAAAGCCTTTCATTTTAATCCTCGAAGGATTGATTGTTTTCCTCTCAACTTTGTCCTCTGGAAAGAAAGCTTCTCTATTTAGTAATTCCAGCAAGTTTCCTCCATCAAGATGGTCCAAAGCATTTTTGGGCTCTATAGCACAAAAATCTAGCTCTAGTACCCAAAAGGGAAAAAAGGGTCATTTTAGGGTAGGGTTAAGGACACTTGGGAAAGTCCAGGTCTTTATTTAATGGCTATGAAATATTGTTTTTGCTTAACAAAGGGACTATTTTGATTGGGGCAAAAAATGTGATGACTAAGTTGAGAGGCTATATCTTTGTAGTACCAAATCACGAGAAGAGTGGTCTTTCAAGGCCTAAAATGATAGGAGAGTGATCTTTTTGGGACTAGCAAGTTGGTAAGCAATTTACTCTAACTGAAATAAACTAAGCAATGGACCACAAAATTAAGATCAGACTTCATGAAAATCTAACAGTCCTACTTTACGAACCCAGATGCAAATCATTTCAATTTCCTTAGGACTTCAAATATAAGGTTAACTTTGGACAAGTAGGTAATCTTCAAATTTAAACTACTCTTCGTCTGTTATAAGCCTTGGGTGGTTCTTTTCAGTGAAGAAATTAGCCACTGATGGTGAAATTCTGGCTTGTTCAGTTTCCAATTTTCTCTGGCTGCTGCAGATCCTTATTGCCATAAGTGCAGCTGCAGCAGCTGTGGCTGCATATTGTACACCCACAAACAAATATGTATAGTAGTAGTGTTCAAGAATCCAACAGTTCATAACTCAAATGATTAACTTGTTAATATTGATAATGAAGTAGTTTATGAGAATTTAAACCTTATTTTAGTCATTTTTGAAGAGTTATATTTTATCTATGTTGGAATTGTTAAATTTCTACCATCATAAATCAAAAGAATGTTATACATAGCAACACAAGTGCAGGTGTATAAGGCTCACTATTTTTTTTTTTTAATTTAAATTTCTTGCAGGGCTTATGTGAACAGGCAGTTAAGGTGCTGCAGATCATGGAGGCAGAGGGAATAGAACCAAATATTGTCATGCTCAATATGTTAATCAATGCATTTGGTAGTGCTGGGAGATATATGGAAGCATTGTCTGTATATCATCATATAAAAGAAAGTGTATGCTTTACTTATCCGTTGTGGAAATATTTAGTTGGGGGTATAATTTTATTATGGCAATTTACTTGGTTTTCAAATCCTGACGGTAATGCTTCTATTTCCATGAAGGGTGTTAGTCCTGATGTGGTTACATACACTACACTTATGAAGGCACTTATGAGGGCGAAGAAGTTCAATGAGGTGCTCCTGATTCTTCACTCATTTTCATTTGTATCTTTTGCCCCCTAAGAGACAGAGATGTTTGTGACTCAATTGATTTCTAGTGAAATTCAAATTGGCTGTTCTCTGAGAAAAAAGAAATAAGAAAGGATTAAATGGCAAATTTGCTTCTAAACTGTAAGTTTTAGAGTATCTGGTGGGACCCTAAACTCATTTTTAGTGTAATGTCCTCCATTAACATTTTAAAACACTGCATTATTGCCTCTACCGTTAACAAATACTAATGTTAACCGTTAGTTGATATCTTTGTATGTAATTTTTGGGTTTTTTTTTTTTTTGTAATTTTTGAAGTCCTTGTATCTAGTTTTTTAGTTCCTTTTCTATAAATTATGTCGTTTTCTGTAATTTTTTTTGGTCAATTAATGGTTAAAATTAACTTTTGTTAACGGTAAAGACGACATTGCACTTTTTTCAAAAGTTGAAGGGGAATATTGCATGAAAAATAAGTTAAGGTTCCCAGATGCTCTTCGACATATAGTTTAACGGTGAAATTGCCTTTTAATCCAACAAGAAAGCCACTACAAGAAGGATATTTATCCTATTTATGGGTTTCAGGCATTTACATTTATATATCGAAGATTTAGCTGACTAATTCATGCTAGCATTATTCTGATCAGGTTCCAAAAATTTACAAGGAGATGGAATATGACGGATGTACTCCAGACAGAAAAGCTAGACAGGTGTTACAAAACGCATTAATGGTGCTTGAAGGGAGACCCTCTAGTGACAGATAGAACCTCTTGGGCTGACATTGATGAGCTGTTAAATGAATGGTCCAAATGGAAACATGGCATCCATTGACCATTTCATGATCACTCTCGAGTCTGGAGTTTGAACCAGCATTGCTCAAGCAAAAGTATATAACGCTAAGTATCTAAGTTTACCTTTTTGACAAGAAGCTAGACATTAGGTTTCATGCTTTGCATAGAGCCTGTCATGCTACTCAGTGATTATGAATACCAAAACTTGTTATTATAGAGATTTTATATTCTTGGTTGATTATTGATGATGTGTAAATTGCTTGCTTCGGTCATGGTTGGACAAAATTGAAACTTTCATAAATCTTGAGGGACCGATACTGTGTCCAAGAGTTCAATTTAAATCATTTATAAAAGCTTGACCAGGTTTGTGCAAGATTTCCATTTAAATCATTTATAGAAGCTTGACCAGCTTTTTGCACATCATGCCAGAGTCTACTGGATGGTAGAAAAGTTTGACAAGGAAGTGTTGAGATGGTTGACAGTTTCAGCCACCATTAGGATTTCATTCGTAAATCTCTTACAAGGTTCTTCTCATGGCTGAGCACTTGGTTGATTGATCCTGATTTGGGTTTTGCAGAAACTTAATTGAATGCAGTTAGCTCAGGATGCAAAGGAGGCTTTTTGATCTTCTGTTTCCACTTTCACGTGTAGGTGAGGAGGCTGCCTGTTTGGTTACAAAGATGAAATTTGTGCAATATCTATTACCTTTCTGTAATTAATTTTTAATATCAATCTTGAGCTTTTAGAAGTTGGTGTTTGAAGATATTTTTATCTGTAAAGTTTTTATTTTTATTATATGTGGGTCCCAAATATTGTACTAAATGTGACATAAGTTGTTTTAAAAATTATGAATGTAGACATGCCCGCTTTGCATACAATTTCTTTTCATTTTGTGCTGCCTCTAATGATTGAAGAGGAAAAAGTTTGTTTTTAGTAAAACTAAAACAAAATCTCTCTCCGTTTTTGTTTATTTGAGAATTATGGTTAACTTTAATTGTCATTTTACATTGACTTGTAATATTTAATTGTATTGTGAGGAATTTTGGTGTGATCCTCCCTATTTTTGTTCTATACAGACATCATCCTATAGGTTTGAACAAATTTAGAATAATTCACAACAATCACTTTTGGGTAAGTATTTTAGCTAGAAATAAATTGGGGGAATTACCGGGGAAATTCCAACCAATTAATTCAATTATTTTCAAGTCTCAGGAAGTGCATAAACTGTCTCCAAATCTCAAATCCTTGTGTAATTACAAAAATACATTATTTTTTTTAAAAAACACAATTATCAATCCCTATAGTTTTATGAGATTTTGTTTGTAGTCTTTGTAGTTTTTTTCAGTGTTTTCAATATTTATAAGGATTAAAAATAGTAAAAAAAATTAAAATTATAAGGATTTGAAAAATAAATGTTACCTAATTTTTCTGAAACTATGAAGATTGAAAACATTTAAAAATTATAGAGATTAAAAATAAAATTTAATAAAATTAGGATTGATAATTGTATTTTTTTTTTTTAATATATCATTCAACCACTACCATCGTTGGACCTTTAGCCAGCCTCTACCGGAGACCTCTTGGGCACCATTGCCAATCGTTGGAAAACTTGTCAATGATGGATCCTATTGATTGATAGTGAGATTTCTTTTTTTTTTTTTTTGGAAGGGTGGTTTTGAAAGGATTAAAACCCAATATCACAAAGTTTTCAAAATATTTGGCAACTATTGAGCTACTTATACTTGTTCATAAAATAGTGCAAAATCTTATGCATATTTAATAACCAGTGTCAACTTGAGTTGAGAAAATTAACAACTTGATAAAGAAAAATAACAATTTAAGTATAACAAAATAATAACTTCAGTTTAAATAAAGGGCAATTGAAGTATATGAAAATGACAACTTAGCAAAAAAGAATAATAATTTGAATGTCAGGAAATAACAACTTGAATTTAAGTGAATAATAACTAAGAATATGAAATAACAACTTAATAAAGAAAAATAATAATTAGTATACGAAAATGACAATTTGACAAAGAAGAATGATAACTTAAATATTAGGAGACAACTTGAGTTGAAGTAAATAACAACAAAGGATATGAAATAACAACTTGGCAAAGGAAAATAATAAATTAAGTATGCAAAAATGATAACTTGGCAAAAAGAATAACAATTTGGGTGTCAAGAAATAACAATTTGAGTTTAAATAAATAACAACTAGGGATATGAAATAACTACTTGACAAAGAAAAATACCAACTTGGGTATACAAAAATAATAACTTGAATTGGTAAAGGAGAATGACAACGTGAGTGTTAGGAAATAATAATTTAATTTTGAGTAAATAACAACTAGGAATATGAAATGGCAAATTGACAAAGGAAAATGACAACTTAAAAAAGGAGAATGATAACTTGCATGTCAGAAAATAAATAACTTGAGTTTAAGTAAATAACAACTAGAGATATAAAATAACAACTTGGGAAAATGACAACTTAGGTGTCATGAAATAACTTCTTGAGTTTAAATAAATAACACCTAGATATATGATTAAAAAAATAACAACTAGGAATATGAAATAACAACTTGACAAAGAAAAATAACAATTTGGGTATATGAAAATAACAACTTGGTAAAAGAGAATGACAACTTGAGTATTAAGAAATAACAACTTTAGTTTAAGTAAATAATGACTAGAGATGTAAAATAACCACATAGTAAAGAAAAATAACAACTTCAGAATACAATAAAAATAAAAACAAAGGACAATAACAACTTAGGTATCAAAAAATTTTATATACTCAAGTTATTATTTCTTTTTGTCAAGTTGTCATTTCCGTACACCTAAGTTATTATTTTCTTTTTCCAAGTTATTATTTCATATTTATAGTTGTTATTAAACTCAAGTTGCTATTTCTTAACAACCAAGTTGCCATTCTCCTTTTTCAAGTGGTTATTTTCGTACACTCAAATTATTTTTTTCTTTTTCAAGTTGTCATTTTCATATACTGGAATTATCTTGTACTTAAACTAAAATTGTTATTTTCTTATATTTAAGTTGCCATTTTTTTTTGGTTAAATTGTTAATTTTCTCTACTCAAGTTAATACCAATTATTAAAAGTATATATAAGATTTTGCACTATTATACTGGTAAGTAAAAGTGGCTTAACAGTTACCAAACATTTTGGGAACATTGTTTGTGGTCATGGCTTCAAATCTTCCCAAAATCACCCTTACAAAAAAAAAAAAAAAAAAGAATCCCGCTACCAATTGCTAAAGCTCCGACGCTAGCAAGTGTTCTGATGATTGGCAGTGATGGCTAGAGCTCCGATACTTGTGGTCAGAGCCATGAATTTTTTTAAATAATTTATGCATTTCATGGAACTTAAGTGTAATTGACTTAATTGGTTAGGACTTCACATTAATTCTCCAAAAATAAGTTTCAATTTTTTATGATAAAGTTATTTTATATGTCTTATAGGTACGTGCGTGTGTGTATAATATATACACACACATATATAGAGAGAGAGAGAGAGATGGATGACTATAAATAAATGAAATAGGTTATGTTATTCTCAAGTTATGTCTTCTTACATGATGAAATTATTGGAATGCATTACATTTATTATTTCTTCGAGGCAATTGAACTGCATTCCTTTGAGACTTGATGACATATGGTTCGAAGATTTGATACAAACTCATGTAACTTGAATTTTTAGATAATTTTTTTACAATTAAATTAATATGTATTAGAAAATTGTTTAAAGTATACTTAAAATTATATAAATTTATTTAAATATAATCCATGTGTCCAAATTTATGGGGAATATTAGAGTCAGTCAGTATGGCCAGATCAATGAAATCTTTAAGTATTATAAAGTTTAATTGCATAATGCAAAAACTAATATTCATAGAGGGTGAAATTTTTTTTTGGTGGATTTGGTTAGCTTTTGATCTATATTTGACATTTTCGATTGGAATGCATAAATTGATAAACATAAAGATTAAACATATAAAACTAATAAGGGCCCGTTAGGACCTGTTTAGTTTCTATTCTAATTTTTTATTTTTAAAAATTATTTTGTAATACAGTTTTTTAAATTATTTTTCAAAAAAAAATAAAAATTCATTTGGTTTGTCAATTAAAAAAAATTAAAAACTAATATTTATGGTTATAAGTAGTTAATGATGGTGATTAATAATAGAAATTGGTTGAGGTAATTATAATTTTCAATAATCAAATACAGTGTATTTTAAAAACAAAAAAATAAAATGAAAATAACTAGAAGTTGTTTCTTTTTTTGTTTTTAAAAAGAAAAGATGAAAATATTTTTAAAAACAATTAAATGAAAAATATTAATCCAAACAAGTTTTTAAAAATTTCTGTTTTCAAAAATAAAAAATAGCTTTTAAAAATAGAAAACAATCTCTTGTTCTTGCTCTTTTGCTTTCTTAGGTTAATTTTGTCATACTTAATATTATACTATGCAGAAAACAAATCTTATTTGAGTTTTATTATTATCAAAGAAAAATATTCAACAAAGTATAACGCTAGAAATGTTTAGAATCTTAAATTCAATTTTTATGTAATATTCCTCTGTAACTGTTGAAAACGGTGTAATACAGTCTCTATCATCAATAAAAGTTAACTTTGACTATTAATTGATAAGAAAATTATAAAAAATGACTCAAAAATACAAACAAGGACCCAATAAATTACAAAAGGAAAAAAATTGATCCTTTTCTATAGTTTTTGATATTCTTTCTATCATTTTGTGGTCAATTAATATTCAAAATTAACTTTTATTAATGATAGGAACTACATTATATTGTTTTTAAAAGTTGAGGGTAAATATCCAAAATTATCTTTCATGCAAACAGCAAGATTACAATCAAACTACTCATCAAGAGCAAGCATAAAATTTTTTTGCATATTCATACTTGTCAGTAGCTGCTTCCATATTTTCTTACTACAAGGACAATCTCTTAAAGCATGTGAAGTGTTCTCCTCCACCCTCCTACATCTGCAACAGATAGAAGAGCCTCCCAATATCCTGTTATACTTAGCAGAAGTTAACAAACTATCAGAAACAGCAAGCCATAAAAAAAATTGTATTCTTCTCGGTCCTTTCCATTTCCATATCCTTTGCCATTTTCTTGCTCCACTTAAATTGTTAAAACCACACAATCGCTTGTACACATCAGCAACTTTAAAATTCTTCTTCCCTCTACATCCCCAAACCACTATATCTTCACCATCCTCCTCTATGGATGGTAATCGAGCCATTATTCTATACACAACCTCTTCTGGCAATAGTCTCCTTAACTCCTCAATTTTCCACTCCATTAATATTCACGTAGTGCCCTACTTTTTTGCTGCATTCACCAGAATCCAACTCAACAGTGCAGAAATCTCTCAAAAAAACATCCCCCAGCCACTTATGTTTCCAAAAGCTAACCATCTTCCCATTATTTACTTCCCAAGCAATGTTCTGTAACAAATCTGGCCACAATTCTCCAAGCTTTTTCTAGAGCACAGAATCAATGGCCTTCACCTCTATTTGCTGCATTAAATCCTTATTTCTCCCATATTTCCCAACTAGAACTTGGGAACAAAGTTTTTGTGGCTTCACCATTACCTTCAAACCCACCTTACTTATTAAAGCATTATTCATGCTTTTCATGTCTTTTAATCCAAATCCACCAAGATCCGTTGGCTTAGACAAGTTCTTCCAACTCATTAAAGGTATCTTTTTTCTTTCATTAGTCGAACTCCAAATGAAATTTCTCTGTAATTTCTCAATCTCTTTACACACTCCTATAGGAATGTCATCATGTAACATGTTAAACACAGGTACTTGTTGAGTTACAGCTTGAACCAATGTAAGTCTACCAGCCAATGAGAGACTCTGTGCCTTCCATCTACGAGGCTTTTTCTGTATCTTATCAATTAAAAATGAAATTATTTGGTATTGCTTGCTGGTTTTTGTGGTATTGGAGAAACAAAATATTGTTTGAGGAAGGTTTTGAGGAACAAGAAGTATCTGTTTTGGCTATATACCGCTATGCTGAGAATGTAAAATGGGCATATAAAGGAGAGGTTGGTATTTTGAAGAAATGGGAAAGTATAAAGTGGAAACCACCTAATGTAGGGTGGATAAAGTTGAATCTAGATGGGGCTGTGAAAGGGCAACTTGGAGAGGCTGGATGTGGTGGTTTAATTCGAGATAATAATGGTGGATGGCCAGGAGGCTTTGCGAATAGGATTGGATGTTGTATGGTGATTGATGTTGAATTATGGGGAATTTGATCAGGATTTTGTATCTTGAAGAGATTGGGTTTTAAGAAAGTGATTGTTGAGTCTGATTCTATTGCTATGGTGACTATGATGCAAAATATGATGACCGATTTTGATGTAAATAACAAATTTATTCGTGCTGTACAAATACTTAAAGATGATAGTTAGGATATACAGTTGTTACACATTTATAGACAAGGTAATTTTTGTGCTGACTAGTTAGCAAATTAGAGTTCAACTCAGGAACATAGCTTACAATTACTTAGTTGTCCTCCTAGAGGGTTAATAAAGTTTCTGTATAGAGATAATATGGGTATTACATACGCAAGACTGATTTTTGTACAATTTTTTGGGCTGGATGCCCCATTGTTTAATCACAAAAAAAGTTGAGAGTAAATATTGCATAAAAAACTAGTTTAAAATTCTAGATGCTTTTGGATTTATAATTTAAGGTCTATTTTCATGCTAGATAAAAATTACCCATGATTAAAAGCAAAAATTATACACTTTGATGGTTCTATTTCATTGGAAACCACAATCCTGATTTTTTTTTCTTTTTAACGTTCAGTTTAATGTTTTATTTGAATAAAAAAGAGAGTACTTATAAAATTAGTCTTCATAATTGATTGTCCTTAATTCATCAAATTAGAGACAAATATTACTTTCCGTAAAATCAGAAATTAAGTCAAATTCTTAGGAATATATCTATTAAAATTTGAAAAACATGATCACAAGAAAAATAATATATTTTGACATTGTTTAAATTATTATAATTACTTAGAATTATTGTATAAGGTTAATATCCAAGAAGGGGTAAATTGCGTGTCTTAAAATTTTTGAAAACTTGTAAGGTGAAATGAACAATTAGACTGAGAATAGAAGAATGAAAGAAAAGCAAGGACACCAGTATTTAATTTTGTTTCGTCTAACCATTTAGTCTTCAAGAAACCTCTTGAAAATTTTTAATTATTATACAATATTTCAAAATAAGGTACTCGCAATCACTTTATAACCCCCAAGACTAAGTTTCATTCAAGGGTACCATACCTTGAGTTTCTAAAAAGATTTAGAGAAATAAAACCTTATTTCTCTTTCAAAGTAAATAAAAACATATGAAGCTTAAAACAAAGTATGAGAGTCTTTTATGCAAAAACTTTATACAATCAAATGGAAAACAATTATGAAAGAAAAGTTGAGGTATCACGACAATTATGAATGGAAATCACAAGCAGCAAAAGGAGTTTTTTTTTTTTTTTTGGAAAAATTGTCATAAAATCCATCCTTGGAGGGAAATTATTTAGAGGAACTGAGACCAATTTAAGGACCAAATACACCCCAAGCTAATGACCTTGCACCCCAAGACCATGACCTTGCACAACAAAGTTGCATGTTAACATTTGAAAATGCCATATAATTTACACGCTCATGGTTTGAACAATCCATTGTCAATGTTTTTATTTCCTTTTAAACCGTCTTTTTCAGGATAACATGTATTTTCATGAAATTTGCATCTTTATGGTGTAAAAGATTAAAGCGTTGCGTATAACATCATAGGCTTGAAGTGTAAGGTCATAGGCTTTAGTGTGCAATGTGCGAGGTGATAAATTTGAGTTACAAGATTATAGACTTGGTGTATGCTTGATCCTTAAATTAATCTTAATCCTTCAAAACAATTTTCCCCGAAAGAAGGAATTTTATGGCAATTTTTCCCTCTTTTTTGTTTCTTTAAGAAAATAAACTGATGATGAAAAGAAATTTGAAAAAATGCTACAGCGACACGTAAATGTCACGACAAGCAAAAGGATTTTTTTTTTTTTTGAGAAAATAAACTGATGATCAAAAGAAAATTTGAAAGAAATGTTACAGAGGCACAAGAATTAGATCACAAGAAGTAGAAGGATTTTTTCTTTTCGGAATAAAATAATTAAACAGATGATGAAATGAAATTTAAAATGAAAGATACAGCGGCACAAGAAATCACAAGAAGCCAAAAAGTATTACATACATACATACATGTATATTGTGAACCTTTCTTGAAGAAACAAGCTGAAAAGAAGAAAGAAGAATTTGAAGGGATGAACCAAGCAGTTGTTTGATTTGAGTGGAAAGCTTTGAAGTAAAATTTGGAGAATCCAATGGGAGATATTTATAGTTTTAGAAGTGATTTGGTCGTTATAAACAAGATTATAAGTGTTGGATAAGATAAAACATGCAACAAAGACGTTTTAGACAAAAGTATAAAATACAAATGCAGCATTAAATACTTTGTAAAATCTCATTAATAGGTTAAAAGGGACGTTGATGTGTTAAGCTCGCTAAATGGACATTTTAACATTAAGATTAGGAGTGAAAATATGCTAAGCTGAGCTAAGCTTTAGCAAAGCAAGCTTAAACCTATGTGATAAGTTAGAGATCTAAACTTGACTTGAAATTTGTATAAGACTTTTCTCACAACTCAAACCTAAATCTACCCAAAGCTTAGCCTGATTTAAAAGTCTATTTAAAAGCTTAGTTAAGAATAAGACTTTTAAATTAACTCACATTGTAGTTTTAAATATCTCAAATACACTTTAATACTATTAGTATAAATATATAGCCTGATTTGTCAATTACAATGTATAATAATTAAAAAGATTTGTGAACTACAATACAATATAATAATAAAGTAATAACATTAATATCAACATATTAGTCCAATTTGATTGAAAATATAACTAAAAATAAAAAAAGAATAGATTAATTAAAAATTAAATAATAAAACTGATGCGTTTAAAGTTAACATAGTGCGCACGCGCACGTGCGTATATGAATAGACTAACATGCCTAGCATATTTAACTAAATATGATTAATTAAAAACCTGAACCTATTTAATAAAGAAGTTAGACTAAGCCTGAAGTAGGTCAGTGTTTATGCTTCTATTAAAGGCATGACTTATTCCCACTCCCAGTGAGGATGCTACGTTAACAATGAGGCTTGATATTTTAAACTAGAAGGTTGTTTAAAAATGAAATCTTGACCTCAATGACATGTTAAAGGATGCCTTAAAAAGTTAAAAGAAAGGTAAAGAGGAATGATGAGTCATGTTCGATTGATGCAAATATTTTAATAGCAAGTCATGCGAAATTTCATTATCAACTTGTTAGTCTATAATATTTTCTCCTATCATTCTTTTTTTTCAACCTTTTCCTTTACGAATATGATTATTTCTTTACTTATCTTTTAACTGCAGTCCCTTTGTTTGCTTTATTAATTTTATTTATAATTAAGATTGTTATGCAATTATCTGAGGAGTCACCATTTTAATTTTTTTTTCCCAAGCTTTTCATGTGGAGCATCTTTGAATATAGTCATCAATATTACAAACATCTTATGTTAAGTAGCAGAAATAAAAGAAAATATCGATAATAATATACTCTCTCATAGTTATACATGTACTTTCGATTGTATTTATATGTAATGGTAAACCAAATTCTTTTCATTAATTTAACTAACCATTTAATTCTTTAATTTTATAGGAATGATTGTAAGCATTTACGTAAAGACGACATTTCAAAATAAGGATAAAGAAGACTCATATCTAACTAGTTTTCAAAGAAACAGTCTAAGCCTAATTAGTACAACGACAGCAACAACTATTAACGATTATTAAATTCAGAGATGCAGTATACCTTCATTTCATATCAACATTTTCAGCTTGTTTTTCTTTCTATTCCATTTTGATTTCACGTACTCATCATTTTATATCTAGTTACATATCTAACTTAACTACTTTGCAAAACTAGGTATACTGCATAAAGTTTCCCAGATTTTTGTCCAAAATAAAGGAAAATAAAAAACTGAGAAAATACTGTAAGCAACAGTTTAACGATGGTTAATGATTTTGTAATAGCAGACCTCAGTTAAGCTTGCATCTCTCATAAATTATTATGCATACATTGTAGAGAGGAGATAGCAGGATGTGAAGTGGACTTGATTTCTCTCCATCACGTTTTCACTACAAATCTAAACTATTCAGATCAAATTTCAATTGTATAAATTATTTATCTATACTTCTAAAAACTATCAAATCCAATTCAACAGTTCAGATTTGCAGCGTGCTCTCCACTGCTGTGAAGCCACCTACAAGTGTAGGGAGTAGCATTACAGACAACTTTTTCATGTCTTCATTATCTTTCTCCCTCCACTTCCTTAATCATAACCATTCATCAAAACTATAGCTAAAAGCAAATTTACTTCTAAAAATTTCAATTGTATAAATTATTTATCTATACTTCTAAAAACTATCAAATCCAATTCAACAGTTCAGATTTGCAGCGTGCTCTCCACTGCTGTGAAGCCACCTACAAGTGTAGGGAGTAGCATTACAGACAACTTTTTCATGTCTTCATTATCTTTCTCCCTCCACTTCCTTAATCATAACCATTCATCAAAACTATAGCTAAAAGCAAATTTACTTAATGCAATGATGTCAATGGTTATGAGTAGGGAAGTGAAGGGAAAAGGATAAGTCAATAGAGAGATTCCGGCTCTGTAACATTACTGCTTTGAATCTGACTGCATTATCTGGATTGGTGGGGCCGTGACCACAGTCAACTTCATAGCTTCAGAATCGCCAGATTTCTCACGAATCTCTCTGTACTCTTGACAAACGGCACACATATGGCAGAAAAAATGGGTGACAAAATCTCCACAAGGTGCTTCCTTTTAAAACAAGAAACAAGAAATATTAGTACAGCATTGCACCATCATAACCAAACTTTCAGAGAGGTCAGTTATTTTCCTTTCTTTTTTTGGAATGTCTATTCAAAGCCAAGTAACCACATTTGTTCAGAGCACTGAAGAGACTTCTCACATAATTATCAGTTATGCATCATATTAGGGAAGTGCTTTTTGGATAAGCTTCAACATTAAGGCTTGGCTTGGAAGGAGGGAAAAATGAATAGAAAATAGAGAAGAGGAAACTAAGAAATTTTTTTTTTTAAAATAGCAAAAAAAATTTGTTCTTATTTTTAGGAGGTTTCCCTCTTTGTTTTCTTTCCTCCCTATTTTCCTCCATATCCAATCGAAGGGTACAAGTTCAATTACAAAGGAATTGAAGGATCCAGTCATTGCGATGTCTAAGGAAAACTACTAAGCAAGACCAGAGGACTTAATTCCAATTCAGACTAAACTTGGTTTGTAAAAATTTCTCAAATCTTAATTCCGACTTAAGTTCTTCTACAAGAGTGCCTCAAGTCTCAAGAATTTAAAAAGACAATGTTCTCAGTAAATAAAAGCAGCTAAGCTCAAGGATTATCTGGGAGATTGATAAAATACTTCAAGGTTGAGAAGAGAAAATTGGAATCTCAAAGATTAAGATGGTATGAAGTAAAACTAACATTAAGACTCCTCTGCGCACAAGTGTGGGCCGCCAAGGTCCAAGGATCTTGGAACGTCGATGCAAGGAGACATACAACATTGAACTTTCAAAAGATCTTACATTTGTCTAAGTGATAGATTCATTGAGCATTTTCAAAGAGTTTAGCCATAAGGACCCAGCTAGGAGCTTTCTAGGATCAAAATCAAAGTCACAATAAGGAACAACCTGCAGTAGAACTCTAACCAATATTTTTCTCTATTTAAATCTCAGCAATTAGTCTCTGAAGAACTAAATATTGCTAAAACCAAAAGCATTGATTAGAAACCTAAAGAAAAGAAGTATCAACTCATATCAAGAATGTGAAATAGAGCACGAAAACACATGGTAGTTAAGGTTATACCGGCAAATTATACTTTGACCTTAAGGTCCTGCGGTAGCTGCAAGCATATGATGCAACAAGGCATCCAGGTAACCCCAAAACCAAGCCATCAGTTAATAAGCAGCAGGTAGTATTAACGAGAGTCCACAATATAAAATGGGTTAGGCATGATCCCATGAAAGTTCCAGACCCCAGAAACTCTGCATTCTTTCCAAAAAGAATGCAGGGACAAAAAAGACCTATACAACCTGCACGGATAACAAAAGTTGGCAGTCAACATTTTCAGTTGATAAACTAAATCTTTCAAAGAACAAAAAAGGCTTCTTTTTCACAGGTTTGAACCAGGCCCTAGTGGGGAACCAATTTAGGAGAGGAGGGAATAACATCCCCAATCAGCAGTACCCCATGATTTGAAGACCAGGGAAAATGCCACTACTCAAGGGGGCCCCAGCAAAATATGAGCTTTATATAACCATGACAAAGGTATAATTTATTCATGTATATATATAACACGACTTACAAGATAGAATGAAGATACAAGATAGGAGGATTAGGTTTTCTCCAATACACAATGGTAAAGAACAATAGAAGCAGATAATAAAAGGGAAAAAAAGATTAGACATGCAGCAATCCTGTGCAGTCCCTCAACATATCCATAAGAGGCACTTCCTTAAAAAATCCTTGAGCAGAACACCACAAGGTTGCCGTTAACAAAATCTTTCTCCATGAAATCTAGAGACAATGAAACACGACTAAAACACAGGCATTCCACCATAGTCATACATTCCATATCATTTATAAGTCATGAACAATATGGCAACCTAGACCACATACAATGCACGTGGCCTACATCTAGTTACTGCAAAAACCATATATTATCACCAAGTTCCACCATCCTTCTTAAAGACAGAACACTAGAAACATACAAGACTAAACTGTTATAAATCCTGCAGACATGCCCAATTCTCCGAAGGTCTCAAACAATTTATTCCACAAGAAGGTAGCCACTTTACAATGTCAATACATACACAGCTTACGTTTTATCAATTTGATAATGTCAATGCACGTATTATTGGTATTTGATAAGTCCAACTGGTACTTGCATTTTCAAATATTTTCCATACTTGTATTATCATAAGTTTTGAATTAACATTACTCAATTTAACCTAGTTTGAAATTAAATTGCTATTAGAAATAGATAGCCTTCCTGAAATTTCAGGTCTTGCACTTTCTGGAGGTTGGAATCTGCAAGTAGCTTAAGTCCCCATGAATGAGTATTATTTCAAACGAAAAAAGAGGGCAGACATCAAAAAGGGAAAAGAATGGTTTTGAAGGTCCTTTTTTTTGGGTTAAATTTAGATAAACTCAATGCATATTATTGATTTTTCATGAAACCATGCAAATAGATTATTAAGATGGGGTATTTTAATGGATGAGCTGGATGGGTCAAGGATAGGTTTCGCCACCCCAAGAATATAATGATAACACTTAGCCATTTTAACTCAAATTTCCAAAAGATAAAGGACCTATTATAAGTACGATCTAATTTCATCCAATGAATCACAGGTTCCTCCCAATGAACCTGGCAAAATTAGAAAATAAAGGACCTAATGCACATTAAGAAGCAGAGAACAAGAGCATGACCAAAGTTTCTTAAGCATACTTCAGATGCACCTTTTCAATAATCCCTTCTACTAAATGAGGATCACAAAGTAAGGAAGTAGCATACAGCTCTGCATATCATCACAGCAAGCACAGATCCCAGAAGACCACTGAGTCTGCATCTGATTTGATCCATTTCTACTACGATTTTCTTCAATGAGCTGATGCTGAGAAGCATCTGCATCCACTGAATCTGACTGTCCCAAAGGAATGTAAGCTGGTGGCACATAACCACGTTGGTTTGTCATATTGCTTCTGTAATTTAAAAAAAGAAAAAAAGAAAAAAGAATTTACTCAAATTACTTCCTCCACATGGCACTCATTTTTCACAACCATTGAAAAAAAAAGGAAAAAAAAAAAACCTTATGTGTGAATAATAATTTGTAGATAAATGGTAAAGATAAAAAAGAATTGGGTTACAATCCATTGTAAAATAAATGCTTGTTTCATTTTTCATCAACCCCTTCAATTTGAGTTTATGGCCAGGGCCATTCAGTATTCAACCTCTATATAAAACCTATATATATTTTTTCATATTTGGAACAGACACACACAAAATAAATAAATAAATATATATATATATATGTTTAATTCAGGATGGACAATCCCCATTGAATGGACAGTGTAGAAACATTTAATCAACCTAGATTGGACAAATCCAAAACGTTAAGCTCCTGCAAAGTCATCTAGCTCCAATTTCATCTGTGTTATGGTCCATATTATTTAAAACAGGATTTTACCCTCGAATAAGATTAACTTCATCAAGCAAAAGCCATCATGTTCCACTTATCAATCCTTCTGACTCATGAAGTAATTAGTATAACAGAACCCCCACATGAAACTTCAGCACTTAATATTTATTAATAGTCAAACATAATCCACCTTACGACTTGCCAACACAGACATCATTGCCATAACGAGGAAAACGTTCCATGCTGAAATTTATCACAAACTCAAATCTAGTGAAGGGGGCAAGAAGCTTAAAGAACCAGAAGTCACAAAGCAGTAGTCACAATATGAAGCTAATTGAAACCCAAAATGTTGAGACAGAAATTCTGTTCACACCCAAAAAAATTAAAAAAGAAAGAAATTTCATGGTTTTGAGCTTAGACAAGAGAAGGAAGTAAAGCTCATAAGGTGTCAAACTTAAATACTAAACTACACATAATCAACCTCATCTACAAACACAATTCTGAGCTAGATTTAGTCTAAGAGAACGGTAATCCCTAATCAGAGAACCCACGAACCGCAAATTAAGCACAAGATCAGCTTTTTGCAAGGCTGAGACCAAAGGGTGGTGATATTTACCTTCGAAACCTTCAAGGGCAGCGATTGAGACGATTTGAGCTTTACCACAAGGAAGACCCTCAGGTGATTTGTGAAATTTCCAACGAATGAGCAGCGAAAAATCAAAAGACGGTGTGCATGATGCTTCTGCTGTCACTGAATACGATCCAGATTCAAGAAGAAAAGAAAAGAGAAACTAGAAGGAGCAGAATGTGAACGAGACCAAGAAATCAAACAACCCGGAGTGAAAACTGCCTCGATAATACAAAAGTGTAAAATAGCGGGTGGCTAGACTGTGGTCTGCAAGAGGCCAGGAATGAGACAGAGCAGAGATGTATGGCAATGGATCACGGGGTATTATAACAGACGCTGAGAATACGCTCCGCCTGAAGGAGAATGAAGATACAGAAGAAACTAGAATTTGGCCCGTGACAAGCGCAGCCGCACGGTATACACGGTATACAATATTGTAATGTTTCTTTTTTCCAACAAAAAAGGAAAAATGATGATTAAGTTTAAAAAAAAATTAATTAAGTTAAGTTAGGTTCAAATAATTCTAAAATGCCAATAAAGTTTCATGCTTTTTTTCACAATCTGAGTTATAAATGAAACTACTAAAGTACCTTTATAATATCCTCCTCTTTCTCATCTCATAATTAAAACCAAATCTCAAGTAATTAGAGAATGAGATTATAGTAATTATCAAAAACAAAGTTTCCAATGTTAGCAAAATGGGAACCCCAAGTTTATAAAACTAAAATCATTTTCAAAGTATTGCAATTGGACAAACTAGAGTTTACAAATAAGCAGAAGCATGTGATCATTACATAAGTGAGTGCATTTGTTTAAAAATTTAAAATAGGAGAATTTCTGAAAAATTTTGAGCTATGCATCACATTTCATTGAATATGAGCCACAGCATATTCACCTCTGTGACACGCGACGTGGCTCGTGGCACCATGCATCGCAGCGCAATTGTACGAATTTTGACAGTGAATTCTGCTATTAATTTGACAGCAATAGGAACAACTTTCGATGTGCTCTAAATCTTCGTCTAACATCCGATTGATGCGAACTAGATATCTACAAAAAGCTCTTTCTGAGCTCTAACTAATGGCATTAGTCTCAGACTCAAATTAAATTGGACACACTTTTCAAAAGTTACACTTTTACAACAATTTTCACAAAATCAAGTGTCCAAACCAAATACCAAAGGCCAATAGCCATCGACACCAATTTGACCACATACAAATCATTAAGACTAATTTGTGCAATGCACCATATCTTATGAAATACTCCTAGATCAAATTTTTACTACTTAACCCTTTAAACTTAGAAACATACAAGGGAGAGTTTATCACTATTTTTATCATTTTCTCCAAATCATCTCATAACATATTCTACTCTTACTTGTATTAGTATTTTGACTCTATCACAACAACACATATTCATCAACTCACTCCCTAAGGCCCAAAATACACTTGCACTTTATAATTTACTGGATGCAAGTAAGGAATAAATGAGAGTTCCTAATTAGCAATTGAAATTGTCATACACATATAAATACTCAAAATAAAAAGGCCTACTACTATCGAATTGTGGTCTTAAGCCTCTGGGTGTTTTTCTCTATCCACACCTCTTGAGCTATTCCTTGTAATATGGAAGATATTGGGGTGAGTACAACTACTCAGTAACTAAGGTCTGACTAACCTATATTGATACATATCAATTAGTTTAAATACAAGTGATAATTAATGTCAATACTTTAACCCATGTAAAACATTTAAAAATATATATTCACAATTTCACTCACATAAATAGCATATACTTGAGAAACAATACTTTTTAGCACTTTTCATATAAAGAGAGTTGGTCACATAATTCATTAACAAATATATTAAAAGAAATTAAGACTCAACTCGTGATATCATTATTAGGTATACAATATAGACAACCAAGTGCCCTTACTCACTATATGCATAATCACACCTCCCTTATATCCTCCTTATTCCTCTGACATGAAACCGTGGGTTATAACTCTAGCCTAAACACTTGTGAGGGGATTACCCGACTAAGGCGCACCCAACTCATGATTTCCCCCGTTTCTCACACTATGAGGTATCATTCACCCTAGACTAGCCACCTCATTGAATTGGTAGATAGCTAGCTAGGTTTGAGTCTCTTGTTGAACCAGTGAGACAATATAGATATAATCAATCCAGCAAACTATCTCACAGATTGGCCTTACCATGTGGATTTTATCATCTGGTCCTCTTACTAAGCGAACTCCCGTATCTCAAGATCATGTAATGCACATTCATGCCATAATTCACACATATATAATTCATAAAACTTCACATTATCAATTTTCATTGAACTTCATCATTACACAAATCATTGGACTTCTTAAACACATTTTTATGGAACTCCAAACCAAATAAGTCATTAAACTCTAACTTCATGATCATTGTATTTCACACTTTCAAAATCATTGAACTTTACTATTTTAAATATCATTGAATTTCTCATAAATAAAGATTCATATTATTTCTCAATTCGCAAAATTATTGAACTCCCAATAAACATAATACGAAAATCCATTGATATTGTTCCTAAAGAAATTTTACATCACAAGGCATGAAACTCACAAATTTGATCTAGTTAATTTTCTAACAAATCAAGCCACACTTGTATTTCTTTTTAATTTACTCATTTCAATGATAAATCATAAATCCATAAACTAATAAACACACAAAAACATAAGATGAAATTCCCCCAGTTACCTCAAACCTTTGAGAAGTCAAAGATTTTATCCCTCAATTACTCACTCCTAAAGCTTCCAAGAAACTTGAATGGTGCCAATAGTAGTTGTTCTACAAGCATTTACCATGCAAAATATCAATATCCATTTTTGAGCTATTTTCCACTAACACTTTATCATTTCTTAATACTCAAGATTTATTCTTGACTCATGTAAAAGTATCCATAAGATTTCTTAACTTTCTTTAACTCTCATTAATAACATCAAGCTCTTAAATGGTCATTAATGAAACTACATTGTTCCAACCACCAAATTTATGAGAATTTCAAACATTTAATGTCCTCCAACTGCCAATCATCATAAAACCATAAATACCAAGTTTATTTAGCTCAACCTACTCCCATTAATTGTATTTAAGTCAATGGGTTCGGACCCATAGCTTCTATAGACCAAAAATCACCATTATCAATCAAACCCTAACTTCTACCATCAAGAATATGGAAGAAGAGAGAAAGATTTAAGTAAGAAAACTTACCTTTAATGTTTATAAGCTCTAAATTATTCTTATAAGTTAGTTTCTTCAAGCCCTAGCTCAGCTTCTTCGTTCTCTTCCTTTTTCTTTTTCTCTCCTTTGTTTCTTTCATGCAAATATGAAATTAATATATCAAAATTTTGGCCTTGCGTCGTGGTGCACGTTGCCCTCCACCACGATGCATGGCATAGAGGAGTTTGTTGGATTCAAATCTACCTCTGTGTGCCGTGGCGTGAGCAAATCTTTACTTTTTCTTCCTTTTTTCTTACCTGAGTGGCCCGCCATTGATCCGGACCCACTTTTAGGGTTGAAGTCACAACAATTACATTAAGTTAAACCCCTCTAGCCACACACCTCATTAATACACTTAATTAGTTAATTTGAGCTTAACTAACCTAATTTAAAATAGATGATATTACAACATGTAAGGTTAAATATATCATTAACATTTAGTATATCATATCAATTAAAAATTTTCCTCCCAAACAAAGCTCCTTTTTACTATTATTGAGCCCTGCATGTAAGTGAACGAGAGACGAGTTGAAGAAAGCCCAACTAAAAATGAAGTTTCACATGAAAACGATGGGCTTGCCATCATTGTTGACTCAAGTAAGCTCTTATTCTAGAACTAGGTTTGACTGGTGCATTTTGAGATGTGATTTTATTTTTTGTAAACAAAAAAAATATAAGAATGGCTGCCTATTTGTAGGTTTTTATAGTTTTCTTTTTGCAAAATCACACTAGTAAACAAAAAGAAATGTTTTAATATTTCACAGCTCTAAAGATTTGGCATGAAGATTTCATGTTTTGCAGCTAAAAATGTAAAAATTTATTATCGAGCTTTCACTTTTTAAGATGGCATATTGTCACTGATACAAAGATGCAAAAAATAACTTGTAACTTGTTTATGAGTCACATATTATAATATTTTATTTTATATGTTGTAGGTTGATGTTAATAGCTATAATGGAAAGTAATTGTTTAAAAAATTTATTATTTTCATCTCAATAAAGATATTGCAAAAGATATATATGGGATAATGCATTATAATGGGGGGACTTGTAATGGAAAAATGATCAAAGAAGAAATATTTCTTGAAGGATTGGTTAGATTGATTTCATCATGCATGAATTATGGCTTAAATGAAGTAGAGTTGAAGTACACAGTAAAGTTTGATTCTAATACATTTTTAGACCTTAAAGATAATAAAGGGATAAATCAATTAATCAAGTTAAATGGTAATTTTGCTCATGTATACATCACTGGGAGGAGACAACTAAGTATAAAGGAAACCAGAGACCCAATTGATGGGTAAGCTTTTTTTAATAGTTACTTAAATGTAACTATTATGCTAATATGAATATGAATTGTAGTAACAAATATGATTTGAATGGAAATGCAAGGCAAGATGTTTAATTGGGAATGTACATGCTACATTGGAGTTTGAAGTTCTACCATCTGTAATACAAAGTATCCCAACACCAATGCTAGACTTAAATGCTACAAAATGGAAAGATTTACTAATAGGACCTAGGCAAATTTTTGCTAATGCTAAAGATTGTAAACGAACAATCTACAAGGTGAACAATACAGATAAATTTGTGATTGTATCCTAACACAAGTTTGAATATAAATTTGTGAAGAACAATATATATAAAATAATTGCGAAATGCAAAGAAAAGGGATGTTAATGGAAAATAACAGCATATACATTAAGAAAGTCAATGCACTTACTACATGTAATGACTTTTAAGAATAAGCACTTATACTCAACCTAAAAAATCCTTGAAGTTTTTTATAGTATAAGGTGCACACTAACATCATCTATAATTGATGATGTAGTAAGGTCTAATGTGAAAAAAACTCCCAATGAAATCAGAGCTAACTTATATAGAGACTATAGCATAAATACAACTTATTGTCAAGCTTTAAGATCAAAAGAGAGTATTGGTGGAAATACATGGGCCTCTTAACCAATCATATATGCTTATTCCTTGGTTGTGTAATTCACTAATAGAGACTAAAGAAAACACTATAGAAAAATGGGTGGATTGTAAAAATCCAATACTTAAACACATAATTAGCACACACTTAACCTTAAAGTAGAATTATCATGGTAATTCCAATAAATTTA